CAACAGATGTGCCCAATGCAATACGTCATTACAGATGTGCCCAATGCAATACATCATTTAATTTTTTTCACTGCTGCTTCAAAAGGTGTTAATTGTGGATCCAAACAAAATGAAATCCTTGAAAACTCACTATTTTCTGTGTTGATCATGTTGTTTATTTTTTATTCCATTGTCTGTTTAGACTTCCATTTTGTGGAGGCTGGGAGGCGAGGCTTATATGAAAATGTTATTCCATTTATGTTTTACTAAATTTGTCACCACTCAGGCCCTCTTTGACTATCTCCCCACTCTGAAAACACCTACATCTACTAAAACATTAGGAAGAATTAAAATGTTTATTATTTTCACACCCCCTATGAGTTACTTGGAGTCCTGGTGTGGTGCTGTGGGTTAATGCGTCAGACTGCAAAGTCATTTGAACTGCAAGGTTGGTGGTTCAAGCTCACCAGCTGCTCTTTGGAAATCCTATACAGGGTCGCTATGGGTCGAAATCGACTCGATGTCACTTAACAACAACAACAATGTGAGTAACTTGGGGTCCTAGTGTGGCGCTGTAGGATATGCACTGGACTGCTAGCTGCAAGGTCAGAAGTTCAAACCCACCAAACAATCCTCAGAAACCCTATGCAGGGTCCCTATGAATTGGAACCAACTCAAGAGTACTTAACAAAAAAAAATGGAATAACTAAAATTTCTTCATGATCTTAACTTCTTACTGGTTCTTTAAAAGTAAGGGAAATAATTCCCATTGTGCTTGGCTGGCCAACATTTCCCCTTTATTATGGACTAGAATAGCAATAATGAGGAACAACTGTATCTAAGCCCTGTAACCTGTTAGACACTGGCAGAACAAGCTTGAAACCAGTCTACAAACCTGAGCCTCTGGCCCATGACAGAACAGCAACAGAAAAGGCTGATCTAGAGGATTTTCTTTTAAAATGGAAGGAAAAAGAAATACCAGCCATAAAGTGTTTTGTTCTTTCTGACCTTGGGATTGAGATTCAACCCAGAAGTTAATCTCTTGTCTGGACTTTTCAATATCCTTCCGGAAATCAAGACTTTCCATCGTCGTGTGGTAAAACTGAACCACACCATCCAGGTATTCCTGTTAAATTGGAAGACATAGAAAACACTACAGTAAAATACCATCATTGTGCTAATTGGAATGGGGTGATCATGAACAGCCTAATGAGAAATATACCTTGTCATTTAATAACATCAGAAGAATAGACATATCAGTATATCTGAGCACTTTGCTCGCTGCAGTGACGATTTAAGATACAGAACAATGATTCACAAAATAGTCCATGGTTAGAAAGACATGGTCCTTTCTGGCCAGATGTCCTTTTTTTTTATTGGGACAATCTATTTAAGATGTCACAAGACAAATATCAAGAAAGCTGAAAGTTAACTATGAAATGTTACTGTTTTTAAGAACTAAATCCAGCATATAAAATCTCAATGTCATAGTGAGAGAACATACTTATGTGGGTGAAAAATAGGTTACCCACTTTTCCAGATTAGGCCAGCCCTCGCCAGCTGTGTAGCATACTTGCCATTGAACACACCCCTCATTTTTATTGCTAAGTGTGTGGCTCCCTCTAATGGCCTGAAAGGGAAAAAGTTCGGGTTGATATCTGGCAACAGGTATAAAACTGTTTATCCTCAGAGAGACCTGAACCTTTGACTCCAAATGAAGTCTTTTCCACCACACCACTCTCTTCTTAGAAGCATATTAAAAGCAATTTTATTAGGGTGACCTGGTTGTGGCACAAAAGGTGACTTTAAAGACGACATTTGAGGAGAGCCAACAGCAAGAGGAATTACCAAGAGCAAGAAGGTCAATCCCTACAGAGTATTGGTCCTGTGACCCTTCACGTACCCCCTCTATGCCACTCACAAGGGCCTTGTGTGGGATAAGGGAAGAGGAACACCAAGGTGCGGGAGAACAAGAGGTGAGTCTGGACAGCAGCCATTCCCCAGCATGTCATTCAGCTGCTCATTCATTTCTAAATAAGTGTGTGAGGTATAGCCCTAATCACCAGTGACTCACCGGGCAGATCAGAAATCCCTGCTCTCCATAGAGTCTGTTGGCAATACTCAGAGTGTAATCAGCTCGAGTTCGGTACAGCTTGGAGAGGAGCTTCCCAAAACAGCAGTTAAGTGCATCATTCGAAGACTCAGTCTAGTCAAAAAAGAAAAACTATGTGATCTTAATGTCATTACCAAGAGAGTGCTGATGACTCCATGGTAGAATTCTCGTCTTCCATGAAGGAGATCTGAGTTCAATTCCCAGCCAGGGCACCTTATGTGCAACCACCACTGTTCTGTCAGTGGAGCCTTATGTGTTAAACAGGTTTCAGCAGAGCTTCCAAACTAAGAGACTAGGAAGAAAGTCCTGGCGATCTACTTCCCAAAATCAGCCAATAAAACCCTCTGGGATACAATGACCCAATCCTGTTGTGCCTGGGGCCCCCATGAGTTGAAGGCTGATTGATGGCCACCAATAATGATGAGATACAAGTGTTTTTGTTTTTACAGAAGCACGTTTGCACTGCATAAGGAGCTATCGTTCTGTTTTGTAGGAAAACAAACTAGGAGGAAGAGCAGTGAGGAGGGTGAATGGCCATGGGTCCGAGATCGGTACCAAGGGCATCCAGGAAAAATGGCTCAGGGGACTCAGTGTATCTAGATTGCTGAGTCCCGTGTCTCTCTGCACTCAAAAGATCCAAGGAAGAGGCATTCATCTCTCCAGCCTCCACTTAGGGAGACATATAAGCTAGAGAAGATCTCTCCTATGACTGGTATGAGACAGCCAATAAAAGTCTTATGTGTCAGGACAGCTTTCAGTATGAATGGAGCAGGCAGCAGTGGAGAGAGAGAAAAGAGTCCCTCAGCCATCCCAACCCTGCTGCTGTTCATGCTGGGCGTGCCACATTTGAGGATCTGTGTTCCACAGAAGCAGGTAGGGAACAAGGCAACTATCTAAGTTGCTTTATCATGAACAGAAGACAGTAGATGTTACAGGTAGTATCACGGAATACACGTTGGACTATTAACCACAGAGTCAGCGGTTCAAATCCATCAGTCACTTCATGGGAGAAAAATGAGGCTTTCTGCTCCCATAAATATTTACAACCTTGGAAATGCTATAAAGGGTCACTGTGAGTCAGAACCAACTCCACAACACACAACAGCAACTCTTTAGAAAACGCTTCTAGCCAAGGACATCTAGGACAAATCATTGGGAAGGATGAATGGAAAGTGATATGAGGTGGTTGTATTTTCAACAACTAGACTCTCATGTTTTGGTGGAACAACCATTACCAGGTGGTTAGTCTGTATGAGGGGCAGGGTTTGTGCTGCTTACCTGCAGATCCGGAGGTCCCTCTTTCCTTCCCTGTCCCTTCACAGGACTGTCAGCCACCACTCCTGATTTGTTGCTTTTCCAACGGGGACCGGGTTCTTTCTTTTCATTCTGGGAAACTTCATTGAAGTGGAGCACCTGCGTGGCATGGTATGGAGTCTTTCAGACAACGTCAACAGCAGGAAGTCTGAACAACTTCAGAAGTTTTTTAAAATGTGGCAATGACGATGGTGATGGAATCAAGTGAAACCGAATCAGTCAGCATTTTGAAGGGAGTGAATGTTACTTCTGGCTTGGGTTGTGAGGCAGAATGGAAGGGAAGTGATTGAATTCTGGGTGGGGAGGGGTTCCATTCTTAGCACCTCATGTTCAGACACTACCCATCTGTCAGGGGAGGCTTGGGTGTTGCTAGGAAGCTGAGGAGGTTTCAGTAGAGCTTCCAGACTAGGAAGAAAGACTTAGCAATCTCCTTTCCAAAGTCAATCAATGAAAACTTTATGGCTCTACCACCTACCACCAATCATGGAGACGGTACCGGATCAGGCAGCATTTTGATCCCTTTTGCCTCAGGTCACCATGAGTTGGAGGCCAATTTGACAGCAGCTAACAACAATAACAACTGAATGCTACCCCATCAGGACCAAGTGGAAGGATGAATGCAAGCAAACTGAAAGAATTTACGACTGTGCAATCCAATTCCTGAGCCACACACGGCTGTTGAGCACTTGCGAGGTGGCCAATCCGAACTGAAGTATGCTGGAATCAACTCAGCAGTATACGATAGCAGCAGGTATAAAATACACCCCAAATTTTAAAGATGGAGTATGAAAAAAAGGAATGCAAAACATCTCATTAATGTTTTTATTTTGATTACATGTTGATAATGGTAACATTTTGGATATGATGAGTTACATACCTATGTGACACATATCATGCATGTGTTGGATAGCATTGTGCTAGAGCTTCAAATCAATCAAAAGAAGAAGGGCAGCAAAGCCAAGTTGCCCAGAGCACTGCAGAAAACAGGAGACAGCTGCTCATCCTGTACTGTCAGACCAAGCAAGTGACACCCAAGTGACTGGAAGGAAGAGAAACCCAAAACTTGATGGGTACCACATCCTAGAGCTATGTTTTATAAAGAAAATAAGAATATATCAAATCAAAGTAAATTTATAGAGCAGAATTACTCCAAATGGTTTTAATCCATAATCCAACTCATCCATATTGAGGGCACAACAGCCATTTCATACATAGCTCCTACCTACACGCAGTATAGGCGAGATCCAAGGATACGGAAAACCAACCTTGCAACACAGTCATGCAATTAAAGTACTAGCAATATTAGTCATTTATGATTGTTCTTGTCACTCCCATTCACTCATTTGACAAATGTTTACTGAGTGGTCCTATAAATGAAGCAATGTTCTAGAATAAGGATTCTTGTCTTCTAGGAGGCTATGTTCAATTAAAAGAGGCACACAAAAGCAAAACACATAGTTCTCCATCCAGTATGTTAGAAGATGAAAAACAACATGTCGGGAAGTAGTAGTTGTTGTTGTTAAGTGCCATCGAGTCGGTTCCAACCCACAGTAACCCTGTATAGGGTTTTCAAGGAGCAGCTGGTGAGCTTGAACCACTGATCTTGCAGTTCAAACGTCTTTGCAGTCTGGCGCATTAACCCACAGCGCCACAGCAGGACTGATAAAAGGGCTGCTTATGGAGTGAAGGGCTAAGATGCAGCATTCAAACAGGAGATCATGGCAGGACTATTGAGAAGGTGGGCTTTCATCAGTCTTGCAGGAGACAGTAAGCCCGCAAAGGGAATAGCTAGAGTGCAGAGTGGCTACCGCGACTGGAGTCCAGTGCAGTCAGGGGGGAGTGGAGGGTTAGAGATGGAGTCATGAGGTTATCTGGGATCCATGGATGACTGTAAGGCCTCTGCTGTTAGGGAACTCTAAGCATGGAGCTGAGATGAGAGGCAGAACTGACTTTGGGCTAAGGGACCTCTCCAGCAGCTGCGTTGTCTGTGGAAGTGGGGAATTCATGATGGTGGTATTCAAATCAGAAAAGATGGTGGGGCTTCCGATCACAGGAGGCTGTAAGAAGGGTCTGGGTCCTGGATATTTTGAAATGAGAGTCGATAGGACTTCCTGACAATTTGATGTGAAATGAAAGAGGAAGATACGAGTTAAAGATGATGCCAAGGTTTTTAACCCACATCACCAGAGGCCTAGCTGATGTTTAATAAATATTTGTTATGTGGAAGACGTAAGAAAAAACCCAGTCATGCAATTAAAGTACTAGCAATATTAGTATTGATAACTGTAGAGCAAAAGGGAGGTAGACCGGCAGACACAGAGTCAGAGACAGAAGATGATTGGGAAAGTCTGCTAAAGTTGGGAGGCATCATAAAGAGATGGAAGGAGAATTGCATCTTGATGAATGATATAACCTGAAGAGAAAGCAAAACCTCCAAGTGGAGAAACATAAATGAAGCTCAGAGATAGATGCAGGTTCCAGCAAGCCCAAGGTACAAGAAGCAACTTGGTTTCATTTGACACCAATATCTCCCCTTGGGTGTGGACCCAGATCCAGGGTGAGTGAGGCTCCTCAGGTGGATATTCACCTTATTGATCTGACAGGCACTGTCACTTCTGGCCCCCAGGTGGACCATGCCGAGGGCAGCTGAAAGGCTCAGAGGACACAAAAAGATGTTTCTAAGAGAACCATCTTTGCTTATCTCTTTGAAAAGGTCAAAGCAAAATTTGGAGTTTGCTGCAACAAGGGAGTCCATTGTGAAACTGGTAACAAGCTGAAACCAAAAACAGAGAAAATGATTGGAAGAAAACTAGTAAATAATTCTCGTTTTAAACACCCAAGATACTATCCGATACAAGTATAATTATCCAATATGTCTTAAAAACTGGAAAACATCATAATGTTAATAAAGATAATCATCTTCATCTTGAAACAGAAATACTGATGTCAACGTCGATATTGATCAAGATAGAAGTCTATTTTCATACAGTGGTGGAATTTCCTTTATATGGGTAGAATTATCTGAATGAAAAGTGACTTCCCCACAGTCAAGAAAGGGTCTATTTTGGCTAAGTCTGTTGCCTCCACTCTTCCTCAATGTTCTGTAACTGAGAATATGCCTACCAAACAGCCATGTCCCTTATCAACATTGTTGTCTTCTCTTTACTCTTTATGCAGCCTATATGGTATGAGTCACTTTTGTAGGTCATCAGTATTGTTCAAGAGATAGTAGAGCATGGAAATGGCAAGGTTTAGAAGTCATCTGGTTCAATTCCTCTCTTACAAGTGTAGATTCAGAGGTAAAATAAAAATCAGCTGCTGATGAACCAACCCCATGTATGACAGACAAGAACTCAATACGTAGGCTTTCCAGCAGTTGATTTTGAAAGTGGACCACTAAGCCTTTTTTCAATATAGAAGCAAACTTATCAAGTGACTTTCCTAAGGATAGATTTATTTTTATTGCTGTTGTCAAGTGTCATCAAGTCAGTTCCTACTCATAGTGACCCTACCTGGGGTTTCCTGGGAGCTACTGATGGGTTTGAACCACCAATCTTGTGGCGAGGAGTCCAATGCTTATCCCATTGTGCCACATCAGGACTCTTTGGCCTCCCACAATAATCCGTTCCAGAATCTTCTGTGGATCTCACCCATGATTATCCCTCTAGAATGAAATGTTTTTCCTTTTGTCTTTCTGCCTAAGGATACTGTGTGTATTTCCCAGATACAAATGTAAGTATTCTTATCATCAGACACGTAACACATAATACAAGTAAGAAACAGTGATTGCATTGAATTGAGTAATGTACATTAGCCTTAAAATGTTCCCAGTTGAATGCAGAGTATTTTAGCCTATGAGAGAGTTCATTTAAAAAGACAATGTTAGGTTGTTTTGTTTTGTTAATGTACCAAACGTGATAAATATTTTACATAAATGTGTTAGACTCCTCTGCATGGTAGACAGCTTCACTCCCCTGTTATTGATAAAAAAAAAAAAAAAAAATCTAAGTTTGAGGGACTGAGTGATGGAGACAGGGGTCAAACCAAGCATCTTCCTACTCTGCCCACCATTTCTAAGTCACCCACGGTGTAAGATAGGCTGAACAAGCACATGCCCACTAGATATTGGTGCTCTCCTCCCCTTGATCAGTTTTATAACCCATTTGTGCCTTTGCATCTTTCTCTATCAAATTCATACCTGACTTAGATTTCTCATCTTGTGGTTTGTTTGTTTTTTTAATGTTTTATTGTGAGTTATGTGGTAGTTTACATTGGAGAACATTAGTTTTACATTCATCCTGTCGTATATTGTTTCATTGTCATGATTACAATCCCCTCCATGCATCATCAACCAACCAAAGTGTATACGCTACAAGCCTGCCCCCTGGTCGACAGCACACAGCCCCTTTCCCTCTCTGGATCTAAAGTCCCCAGCTGCTCCATCTCTCCACGTCATCATCTCTGCCTCCATGTCAGGTGCTGGCGTCAGCATACACAGACCCTGGGTTGATCAATGGCCCTGTGACATGGACGAAAATCCAATTCCGAGGCCCTCCTCAGGATAGCGAGCCATGGACCCTGAGGACCAAAGGAAGTGACCTCCTGACCTCCCGAGTTCATTGATTTTTGCGAACTCACTGGTTGGGTACCTCTGTATAATTTTCTTTGGTCCTAATATTGTTCATTCTATGCTTCTAACTCCAGTAATTATAGCTTCTGAGAAAATGGTTTCTTTTACAATGCCTCTTTTAATGCCTCCACTGTGTTGGCAGTGTGTGGAGTCCTGGGAACAAATCTTTCTGAGGAACAAGCGATAGCCACCTGGATGACTATCAGAACTGCTCCTTATTTGATTATTCAGTTATGTTTAATATCCATGAACAATGGATATAAAAAAGGGTTTGAAACCCCTTTTTAGAGCCGAGGCAGTAAAAGTTTCCTCAGATAATTCAGAAAGGCCAGGAACAGGTATATTGGGAATATGAGAAAAGGTTTTTAGAGAAAAACTACCCAAGGTTTGTAAATAAAGTGGAATGTAAATTCTGGGAATGTTGGATTAGAGGATAATAGTGGCAGCCCCATCAAACCGTCTCTGAATATAATCAGTTTAACCCAGATGCTCTCCTTCCTCCTGAAAGTATATAGAAATGTGATAATTAAGAACAATGTAGCATTTTAGATATAGATAAATGAAGCCTGGTGCCTGAGATCTTGCTCACAAACAAAAGTTTGCCAAGTGTACAGAGATAGCTTGGCTCCTTTCAGGAATCTTGCTTTATGTTAAGTATCCTTGAGAAACCGCACGTCCTGCTCTAGATCATTTAAGCCTAAAAGTTAATATATAACAGCTTGATTGAACCTTTTTTCTGTAAAAATAAAAATGTTAGATTGTTTAGAAAAACTATGAAAATATTTTAAAAGTTATTCCTGTAAATCATTTGTTTTGAATGATTAATCACATTTCAGTTCCATATCCTGTCTTATCTAAAGAATCACATCCTCCCTTTGTGAATTACATCCTCCCTTTGTGAATTACATCCTTGCTTTGTAACAAATCCCCTGAAAAAGAGAATAAAAGACTGAGGTAGAGTGAGTTCTGTGTGCAAAGCTAGGCAATATGTTTGCAGATCTGCCTACCTGCCAGTATGCATCATATCTGTGTGTCTGTCTTTTTTATATATATTTCGTCTCTCTCTTTCTCTATCCCTTTCGCCGCCAGATCTCCCTTCTTCGTGACACCCTCACTTCCTTGTCGAGGCTGGACACCGACATAGGACCTCGACACTCAGGCATCATTGCTGCTCTGGGTAGGGTCCCGCTTTCTGCTCTTCTCCCTTGATGGTCCTAAGGACCTCCACTCCTGGACTGCAAAGTCAGTCACTCCCCTCCTTTTGCTACAAAATGTCTACCTTTGCATTTCCAACCCTCACAGTCAGTCTTGATAGCAATTATTCACTATTGTACCACAAGGGTCCTATCCCCATCTCCTTTCATCAGCTCTGCCCAGACAGATTGGATATTACTCAGTGGAGATTCTACCTTCCTCCAGGCCCTCTGGATCTAGGCTCACTCTTGAAAGCTTGTAAGTCAGTCACTTCTTGCTTTTGTAGTCCCCCCATTTTGGGTAGTCAATGTCCAAGTTGCCCATCCCTGTCTACCCTGTGTACTGAGGGGGTGGGAATGATCCTTGCTGTAAAAATTTGTTCCCTCTTTTAAGATACTGCATCCATAGGTATAGGTCAAGTTCATTAAAATGTATCAGATTTCTCTTTTTTTTTCTCTTCTTTCTTCTTTCATCTTGTGTTTTTGAAACCGAGTTTGGGGCATACTTTGTGTTTTTAAAGTACAGTCCACTCATTGTCTTTCCTTGTACCTTGTTCCTCCGGTGGATTTGTGCATATGGCATTGGAGAGAAAGGGTGATTCTTTCTGACATGAGCATGCCCAGAACTGAATGTTCACAGTCTTAACCTGCTTTGGAGAAGACGTGATTGCTCATGTATGCCAACTCATCTTGAGATGAAAAAAATGAAGCCAGGATAGATGAGGTGGTTTGCATACAGTCACACAGTTGGCCAAGAGCACAGCAAGGCCAAAATAGCTCCATGCCCACACCTGCTTCTTCCTGGAACTGACTGTATGTTGCATTCGTTTCTAAGTCTGATATTATCCTGGCTCAGTCTGCGGGCTGTAGACCCCAAACTCTCTCTGCCTGTTTGTGCATCAAGAGTGTGGACTCTACTAAGCTGTGAAGACTTTTCATGAGTCTTCTGATCTGGCTTCAAATACAGCCTTGTTCTTGTTCTTGTCCTGACAATAATCTCCTCTCCTGAGTCTTATCTGGCTACAGACTAGAGCTAAGTTTCCACTGTAGTTCTGTGTGGTTATCACACAAGCTCCCCTTTTGGAGGAAGAAAGGAAAAAGATAGGAATAAAACATCTGCTGTAGCAGATAGCTTTCATTGCTATTAAAATGTAAGACTACGGGTGAACATTTGTCACAGGAAAATCCTTTCCTGTTTTATGCAGAAGTCCAAAATCAAGAGAAAAAAAAAGCATATTTAATAGCTATACTAAGATGTCATCTGGTAACCATGCTTGCAATTAGCATGTTCAGCTGCTAGTAAAAAGGTGCAAAGTTCAAGTTCATTCAGATGTTCCCTGGAAGAAAGGCTCTGGTAGTGCAGTGGAGTACAAGTTGGGCTGCTAACCTCCAGTCAGTTGTTCAGATCTACCTGCCGCACCGTGGGAGAAAGAGGAGGCTTTCTGCTCCTCTAACGATTTACAGGCTTGGAAATACCTATACAAGCTCACTGACCTGGTGGCACACAACCAACTACCACCACACCCCCCACCACCACCATCACTTGCTATAGACTAGAGCTAAGTTTCCAGTGTAGTTCTGTGTAACTCCCACACTGGTGCCCCTTTTGAGGGAGAAGGGAGAACGGTAGGAAGAAAACAATGGTCTAAACACCTGATGTAGCAGACTAGGTCTTAGCTTTTATTGCTGTTAATATTTTAAAAGTACAAGTGACTATTTGTCATAGGAAAAGTCTTTCTTGCTTTATCCAGAAATCTAAACTCAACAAAACAGTGCCTATTTAATAACTATACTAAGATGTCATCTGGTAGTCACTTGCTTGCAAGGTTAGCATGCTTAGGTCAGCTGCTAACAGAAAGGTTGACTGAATTCTAGAAACATAGAGGAGTAAAATATTAATTTGTGAACTGAACCTCCAAAACATCCTAAAAT